ACTCACCCCCACGGTCGGAGTGGAGGCAGCTGACACGACGACCACGAGTGTCCTCGGTGGTGAGCAACCACCTGATCAGCGTAGAAGTCACCTCAGACTTCTTCGCCAGAGGGAACACTGTGGTGTAGCGGGAGAAGTCGTCAACGACCACCAGAAAGTAGCGCTCACGCTCAGGGCCTAGACGAGGGGCGGGGCCCAAGACGTCCAAGTGAAGCGTCTCAAAAGGCTCGGTGGCCGGACGAAGGGAGGAGGAGTGAGGGGTGGCGCGCAGCCGACCCTCGACGCAGGGACCACACGGCGGCGCAAGCGAAGGCGGCAGCGACGGCAAGACACGTGGGAGGCCTAGGACAAGACGCTGACTAGACATAGCGCGCAGACGAGGAAGGGACGGGTGCCCCATCAGGTGGTGCCACAGAACGGTGGGGTGGGCAAGCGACCGGCAGGAGCACGACGCAGCGACTGGAGCAGACGTAGGAACCTGACACGACACAGACACCTGGGGGGACGAAGCAACCTGGTGAGACGCGGGGACCCGAACGGGGGGGGGGAACCGGGGGCAGTGGCAGTAGGGGCGGCTGCTGGTGCGACCGCTGGTGCAGCTGCTGCTGCTGCTGCTGCTGCTGCTGCTGCGGCTGCGGCTGCTGCTGCTGCTGCGGCTGCTGCTGCGGCGCACGCGGGCCAGTGTGAAGAGTGTAGAGACCTGAGCCCGGCTCAGCAATAAAGGTAGCAAGAGGCTGGTAAGAGTCTCCGTCAACACACACCGCAGTCTCTCCAGAAGGCTCAAACCACACACCCACATGCTGACTCACGAGGGGTCGCACGCCCACCAAGTTCCGGGAGAACGAGGGGACGTGAAACCCAGTGAGAGACCCGGAGGGAGCAGCAGGACACGGTAAAGTGGTAGTGTGACGTGCAGTGACTGGTCCCGTAGTGGGATCAGCCAACGCCACAGAAACAGGCGCAGGAAGTGGTGTAAGTGTCGTGCTGTCCCGGAAGAAGCAGTGTGAGGCTCCAGAGTCCAGCGTGAACGACAACGAAGCGTCCTCTGAGGTAGTCGCTGGTCTAGAGTCTACACAAGAACCTACACTAGCAACAGGCAACTGAGCAAGACTAGCACCTAAGCTAACAACACCAGAGTAAACAGAGTCAGAAACACTAGAGTCAACAACAGCATACATAGCATGAGGAGCACCAATCAGATCAACTAACTGCTCAGCAGACATGCCCCACAGAGCGGAGCCGTAGCGCTGAACCAGAGGAAGCCAGTCAAGAGCAGGACCGCCAACCCCGTAGGCCAACCGGACCGTGTCAGTGAGCTGAGCAAAGCACTGACCAGGGGGGTGAAAGCGGCCACAAGGGTGGCCCCGACGAGGACCTGTCAGAACCTGATAGGTGCAGGGAGGGTAAGAAGCACCGCGCTGGGGCTGACGCAGCCCCGACCCCGGAGCCAGCTGCTGACGCTGCTGTTGCTGAGGCTGCTGGGAGGAAAGGGGCTGCTGCTGCTGCTGAAGGTGCTGCTGACGCTGAGCCTGGTACCACGCCGCTGCTCCACCTAGCGGGGTCGGCAGTACAGGAGGCGACTGACGAGCTCGGGGGTCGCCGCCACCAGCAGGCGCAGTGGAGTCACCAGCCGCTGCACGAGGGGTCTCTCCAGACGCTGCACCCCCACCACCGCCAGTCGCAACAGCACCCCCACTACCTCCGCTACCTCCACCTCCACCTCCACCAGAACCACCTTTCTTGCCCCCCTTGCCGCGGGACCGCGACGCAGTCGTAACAGCAGCCGCAGTCGCGTCAGTAGCGGCAGTGGCGAGAGAGGCAGTGAAGGTGGGTAACTGCGGGACTGTGCACCCGTGGAAGAGTGGGGGGGACACAGTACCAGAGGCGGCAGCTACCGAGCGAAGGTTGCTCTCGACGTCCTTGAGTGCAGACTCAAGGACCTCGATAGTCAGCTCACTAGGGTGCTTCAGCAGAAGCGCGTCACGAACGGAGGCTAGGCGGTCAGGGAGGCTAGTGGCGATGAAATAGACAGTAATCGCCATGGGGGGAGGAAGCAGTGCAAGCTGTGCCTCAGTGCAAGCAGCGCGGTAACTAGCGTCGAACGAGCGGAGGTGAGCGATCAAGTCAGCAGAGCGCTCAAACGAGGCGAGATCAGGAAACAGGAACGGGAGGAAAAGACGGCCAAGAGAGACAGTAGCGGGAGTAGAGTAGCGGGCCTTAATCGCAATGAGGTACGCAGCAGCGGTGCGAACCTCAGTAAAGTGGACCTCCTCTGACTCAGGGAGGAGGCTGCTGAGCGCGATGCAGGCCGCAGCGTCACGCGACGTCCAAGCCGTCCGGTCAGCGCGCTAACGGGCAAAGCGAGCCATAGCAGCGTCGTCAGGGGCAGAGCCTAAAGCTGTAGGCTCGGGGGGCTCGGGGAGTTCACCAGTAGCGTGCGACCAGAGGGTCTCGCCCCCCTGGACCTGACTCTCTAACAGACGGCGAGCGCGAAGAAGCCAGACGGAAAAGTCAAGTGGTCTACCGTCAGCGTCGAAACGAAGAACTCACGGAGTCGCCATAGTGAGAACTAACGCGAACGAACAGGCGAGTAACAACCGGGGAGAAGAGGCAAATTAGGGTTCAGGTGGGAAGGGGACTCAGTCGCAGCGGAAGAGCGGGCTAGGGCGACGGGCCAGGGCGTAGGGTAGGGCGACGGGCTAGGGCGTAGGGTAGGGCGACGGGCCAGGGCGTAGGGTAGGGCGACGGGCCAGGGCGTAGGGTAGGGCGACGGGCCAGGGCGTAGGGTAGGGCGACGGGCCAGGGCGTAGGGTAGGGCGACGGGCCAGGGCGTAGGGACGGGACAGGGCGACGCGACGGGGCAGGGCGGCGCGACGGGGCAGGGCGACGGGACGGGGCAGGGCGACGCGACGGGGCAGGGTGACGGGACGGGGCAGGGCGACGCGACGGGGCAGGGCGACGGGACGGGGCAGGGCGACGCGACGGGACAGGGCGACGGGACGGGGGGGGAAAGGGCGGGCACGACGCGACGGGGGGAACGGGCGCGACGCGACGGGGGGAAAGAGCGCTAGGCGACGGGGGGAAAGGGCGCGACGCGACGGGGGGGGGGGGGGGGGGGGGGGGGGGAAAGGGCGCTAGGCGACGGGGAGAAAGGGCGCTAAGCGACGGGGGAGAGGGCGCTGGGCTCGGTACTAGGCGCGGTAACAACGGAACCGGTACGAACGAGAGGTAGGATCAGGCTCGGGAGGGACGAACGGAGAACGGAGGAACGGGATCCCACAGGATCCTAACCTAGCTGATACCATGTCAAAATGAGGAATGATGATGCCATTGATGTTGGTTGGGGTACATATAACAAACCCTAACTTCTGTACCCCCTAAGACAAACCTCACTACAGGCTACAACATTTGACACCCACCAAGCCCGCGATCTGCCATGGCGACTTATTGTGCTGTTGGCATGGCTGCTACTGCTAGCAGCGCGAAATCCGCTGCTGGCTCGAACTCTGCTGCTTTTGCAGCACCCGTCGCGCTGCCCCCTTTCGCCTACCCCGTCGCGCTCTGCCAGCGGCGAGCGTGCCAGCGAGGCGACGGCGGGCGCCAGCGTAAGCGCCAACGGCGGGCGCCAGCGCCAGCGCCAACGGCGGGCGCCAGCGCCAGTGCCAACGGCGGTCGCAAGCGCCAGCGCGGACGCCAGCGCCGATGGCGGGCGCTAGCGCCAGCGCCAACGACGGGCGCCAGCGCCAGCGCGACGCCAGAGCCCAGCGCCAGCACTTCCGCCAGCGCCAGCGCATGGGGGGGAGGGGAATGAGGGGGTGGCGGGAAAGCTTCTACCGCGCCAGCCACCTCCTCTCCTCTCCTCTCCTCTCCTCTCCTCTCCTCCTCCTCTTCTCCTCTCCTCTCCTCTCCTCTCCTCTTCTCCTCCAGCCGCATCTCCTCCTCCACTCTCCTCTCCAGCCGCCTCTCCTCTGCTCTCCTCCTGTGCACCACCACCAGCTTCCTCCTCCTCACCAACAGTTGTGTTTGCTCGTAGATGGCGAGCGACCAGCATCCTTCGCCCTCTGGCTATCCCAACCCTCCTCCGCGCTCTCCGCGCCCTCCTCCGTTCTGGCGTTCACAGGTGCTGCCGCTCAGCCACCGCTGTTTGTGTGCCTATCCCAGCTACAACAACCGCTCTACAGGCGACCTGGTGCCAGACACCACTAGCTAAAACCGTAGACAGTTACGGGGGTGTGTTGAATTGTATTTGCATACCTTATTACTGCCTATAGTTAGCTAGTGTACTAGATTAGTTATTAGATACCAACTGCTGGTGGTGTACCCTTCCCTTTCCCCTTCCCCTTCTTCCTATTTGTACTCCCAATCTATAATGAAACTCCCTCTTTGGACGATCTTCTCTCCCTCTCGATACCATCCTACGCCTAAGTCCTAAACCCTAAGCTCCTTATCTTAACATCAATACACATGTTGCTGTGAGGTCAGCCCACCACATCCAGATCTGGAAGCTGCTGCCGTTCACAACAAAAGCAAGGGCCAGAGTGCTGTAGTAACCCCAGCACCTAAGTGCCCAACCAGTCCTCCTTTTCATTTTGTCATTCCTCCAAACAAAGCAATCTCCCCTACGGCATGCAAGCCTTTCTGCCACTCCTACCCACTCCAGAAACTTCATCTCATTCCAATGCTTTCCCAGACCTTGTTCACATGTCAATGATTTCCTACAGCACGCTACGCTACGATCTGGCCAATGGGTGCTGCAACATCACCCATGTCAAGCATCTGTCAGGGCGGTTATCCACCCCTGCTCCAATGCATGCACGCGTCACCTCCAATCCGCTTCTCCCCACTCTCACTCCACCCACACCACTCTTCCTGTCTCCCCAACCCACCCTCCCCGCTGCACCCACCTCCAACCCCTTTTCATCCCTGAATACCCCTGACCCCCCACACCCGCACCCCTCACCCCACCATCCCCATCCTCTCCCCCCCATTCCACTGCTCCCTCACGAGTGAATGGGTTTGCCATGGGCAGCCAAAGCGGCCTCTTTGACAGCCTCTGTGAGCGTGGGGTGAGCATGGCATGTGCGAGCTAGATCCAGCGTGGTCGCCCCATGCTCCATGGCCAGAACACACTCCATGATCAGTTCTCCCGCGCTCGGCCCCAGTATATGCGCCCCCAGCACCAAATCCGTCTCCTTATCCGCCAGAATTTTCACAAACCCCTCCACCTCCCCCATCGCCCGCGCCCGGCTGTTCGCTTTAAAGGGGAATTTACCCACAGTATACTCCATCCCCGTCGCCTGCAGCTCCTCCTCGGTCATACCCAGCATCGCCACTTCCGGGTGCGTGTAAATAATCCCGGGCACCGTCGCATAATTCACCTGCCCGTGCCCGTTCATGATGTTTTCCACACACGCGATCGCATCCTCCTCTGCCTTATGCGCAAGCATGGGTCCTGGAATCACATCCCCTATGGCATACACAGTAGGCCGCGTGCTCCTGAAATGGCTATCCACGAATATCCGCCCGTTCATGTCTCGTTTCACGCCCACCTCGTCTAAACCTAGCCCGTTCGTGCAAGGCACGCGCCCTGCCGCCACCATCACCACGTCAGCGTGAACCTCCCGCGCCTCGCCCTCCCCTTTCGCCGGCGCTACCTGCAGCACCACGCCTTCTCCTGACGCGTCCCCGCGCACCACCTTCGTCCCCAGGAGGAATTTCAACCCCTGGGATTCGAGAATGCGGTGATACGCCTGCCGAATCTCGTTGTCCATGTACCCGCCAATGCCATCCGCGAATTCCAGTATAGTCACGTCCGCGCCCAGGCGACTCCATACGGACCCCATTTCGAGTCCGATCACCCCGCCGCCCACCACCAGCATCTTCTCCGGAACCTTCTCAAGGCACATAGCGCCGGTCGACGAAACGATTTTTTTCTCGTCGATCGGGACCCCGGGCACCTGCCGAATGTCTGATCCCGTCGCGATGATGATATTCTTCGCCGAGAGGACTTTTTTCGCCTGCCCGACCTGCCCGTCCGCGTCTAGGAGGCTCACGGTGACCTCGTGCGTGCCTGTGATGCGGCCCGCGCCCTTGACGTAGTTAACGCGGTGCTGCTCGAACATGCGCTCGACGCCCGACGTGAGGGATTCTATGGCGTCCGCCTTGAGCGCCATCATCGCCGCCAGATCTACTGACACGCCGTCCACCCGCACGCCGTGCTGCGCTAGAGAGTGCTTCGCTTCGTAAAACTTGCGCGATGACTCCAGCAAGGACTGGAGGGAAGGGGGGGAGAGGGGGAAGGGGGGGTCGAGGTGCGAGTTTGGAGGCATCAATGGGTTAGGCCGAGGGGGGTGTGGGGGAAGCCGACGGTTTCTTCTAACAGATTCTTTACGTGTGTTGAATCGCGTGTGAGCAGATGTGTTGAAGTATGTGCGAGCACTCACGTAATCGACGTTGGTCAACGCTCCCCGCACAAAAAACCCTTCAGCCGTTCTCAAGGTACTCACAACCAGCACCGAGACACACCTTAGAGGGGATGCATCCGACGTTGAAGCACGTGCCTCCGAGCCGCCCGCGTTTGTCAACGCACGTCACCTTCAGCCCCACTTGCGCCGCGCGGATCGCCGCCGCGTAACCGCCGGGCCCTCCGCCGATGATCACCACGTCATTCTCCTCACGGCCGCCATCGCCGCCGCGATCCGACGAATACCACCGCTGCGCGCCGAACCAGGAAGATCCGGCTAGATTCGCAGCGATCTGCGGCGGTTGTGTATGGCAGCAGGTGGTGATGCTATCTACGAGGCTCGGAGGAGACGAAACCCTAAAAAATGTGTCGACGAGCGGCAACCCTCGCCTGCGTGCTGCTCTGCAGGCTAAACGGGAATACATGGCGCGCAGCCAGCGTGTCGAGGAACGCTGGTGGGCCCGGGGTAAGAACGACGTGAACGACGCGCAAGATACGCGAAGGTTCTGAAGTAGACCAAAAGGTAACACGCGCAACGAGAGTCTAAAAGAGACAAACGGGAAGAGCGAGGCAGCCCGCGGCGTGTTAGGCTACTGCACAACGACACAGATGGAAGAGGTATGGCGAAGCTAACAGGGAATAGGTGCTGAAATGAGAACAAAATAGTGTAGGGGAAATGGTTGTGGTAGAATCACATGAGGATTCGGGCGGCTAGACCGTCTGCGGCTGAGGAGGCGGCCTTGGGTTTGTCGACAGAAGGGAGATTCGACATGACGGAGGAGGGACGCCGAAATGACGTGGACGAGGGGAGGACGGAGGGCCATGTCACGCTGATGCGGTCGCGAGGAAGATTGACAGGGACCACCCCGCCACGCAGGAGCCCAAGATAGTATCTCAAGGTTCTCTGGACCAAATGGTACACCGCTGATATATCGAACTTATCATACTCCCAATGCTTGATAGACGGAAAATCACACACTAAGAACCATGAAATGGTTAAGATAACAAGGGGAACAGCAGAATGGAATCAAACACCTTATCAGTCATCTCACAGTTGGCTTCCAAGCCCACCCCAACTCCTACACAGATTCCTTCCCATCCTTTCTGCCTCAACTTTCCTCTCCTCACAACTCCACGTCTTCTCCTTTTAACACTATATTCTATCTCTCCATCTTCCCCCTCTTCCCCTTCCTCCTCTGCTCTTCCTGGTCTCCCCTCAATCAATCCATCTTTCTCCTCCCACCTTATCTCCTTCCTCAAACTCTTCCTCCCCTCCACACCCCATTGTGCCATTCCCTGTCAAGCCATCAGCAACCACCATTGCAGGTGGAGCAGTAACATTTTGAGTGACCGTCGCAGGCACCCTAACTGTCTCGTGATTGGCCGGTGTGAAGCAGGGGATACCCATCTGGTCGGCAATTTTGTCCCGTAGCTGCGCCATCTTCGCACGCTCGCCATGCACCAGGATGACGTGGCGCGGCGCCAGGTGGCGGATAAGGTCGGTGATGCCCTTCGCATCAGTGTGTGGGGAGAATGAGAGCACATGCACCTGCCGCAGAGGGGGAGTAATCATGGAGAATAGCGTCAACTAAAAGGGTGTGTTTCCAGTGGAATTCCTGGGTGAGAGTGCAGTGCTTGCAATGCGGATTTCATTCTGATATGCACGAAAAAGGGCCCCCAATGCCTGCAACCCCGAGTCAAGGTGTCAGACTCATGATAAGCCTACCGGATCAGTTTCTCTGCTGGTATCTCCTGACAACACACCTGACAGTTGACCACCACTTGCGTGCTCTGGTCGACGGCTACCCTCCCTCCGCCTCCCCCTCCCCCTTCTCTTCCACCATCCCCACCACCCTCACCCCCCCCACCACCACCAGCAGCGGCGGCATTGGCGGAGGCCATGGCCATGATCTTGCCGCCCACCGTGCCCGCCATGCAGAACCTGGGAGGGAGAAGGGGAGACGCGGGCAGCAGGAGGGAGGAAGAAAGGCATTGGCGGAGGCCATGGCCATGATCTTGCCGCCCACTGTGCCGGCCATGCAGAACCTGGGCGGCAGAGGGTGACCCGCGGGCGGCAGGAGGGAGGGAGAGAGGAGCAAGAGGGTAAGAAGAGTTGAGAAAGTGAAATGGGATTATTGAAATTGGATCTAGCATGGGGCAGACGGCCTTGCTTCGGTGGTCGAAGGGTGCCCCCATCTCCACTCTGCACGTGTATGGCGTGGCTAAGGGCGGCATTGCCAAGTTAGTGTGGGGCGGATGCGGTCGAGTAGCGAGAGCAAACAAGGTTCTGGAGAGTGGATTCGACAGGCTCTATTCCTTGTAGCAGGAGGCACAGGGCCTTACTTCCTCGCTGGCCCAAGGGCGCCCGCATCTCCACTCTGCACGTATCTGGCGTGACCAAGGGCATTGCCAAGTGAGTGCTGCTATGAGACTGGGTTGAGTCAAGAGAGAAGCAGGGGTTTTAAAAGGTGAGTGGGACGGATTCACTTGGTGGGCTCGAGAAGGCAGAGCTCGCCATTGAAGTTTCTGAATGGACTCATCTCCCAGGTAAAAATCTCCAAGATATCATCTCTTGGGTATCATATCCCGGATATCATCTCCCAGGTATGATCTCCAAGATATCATCTCCCGGATATCCTCTCCCATCTCCGGGATATCCTCTCACCCTGGATAAAGTGGATACACCCCAGCCATGCACACCCACTCACCCGGGCAGCACGAGCAGGTTGCAGGGGTGGGGCGCCCAGGCCTTGAAGGCCTGCAGGGAGAGCCCCCCTGAGAGCATGCCGGGCGTGGCAAACAACACCATGGGCGCCGGGGCGTCCAGTAGGGCCCGGTCGAATGGCCGCACTGGGAGTTAAAGAGGGGGGGGGGGGGGGGGGGGGAGAAAGCAAGAGCGGGCAGATGGGAGGAAGGAGGAGGAGGAGGAGGAGGAGGAGGAGGAGGAGGAGGAGGAGGAAATGGGGTGTTATGGACGACGTAAAAAGCAGGTGTATGCACAATGTTTCATCCCGTGCTGGAGAGTGCAGCGAAATCCACGCATTATGGTCCCCTGTTATAGCGATGTTTGCAATGACAAGACCGACGGGTATACCATCCCATGGCGGCATGCAACCCCCTGCATCGCACGGCATTGCATGACAGGACTTGGCATGGCATGGCGTAGAGGCATGCATGTACCATGAGTCATGGCATGCATGTACCATGGGTCATGGTATGCATGTACCATGGGTCATGGCATGCATGTACCATGGGTCATGGCATGCATGTACCATGAGTCATGGCATGCATGTACCATGGGTCATGGCATGCATGTACCATGGGTCATGGCATGCATGTACCATGGGTCATGGCATGCATATACCATGGTCCATGGGTCATGGTATGCATGTACCATGGGTCATGGCATGCATGTACCATGGTCCATGGGTCATGGCATGTAAGTACCATGTCGAAAGTCAAAGATGTTGCGGTTGGCATGTGCTGATTGGATGTGCTGATTGGTCCACGTCAGCAAAGTCTTGTAGAACACCGTGGCCTGGGAGGTGAGGCCTGGGAGGAGGAGAGAGGGAGTGAGTGCGGAGGGGAGGGGGAGTGAGTGTGGAGGGGAGGGGGAGTGAGTGTGGAGGAGAGGGATCGACGGGGAGGGTGAGAGAGGGTGAGGAGGAGGAGAGAGGGGAAAAGGCAGGCCAGGGCAGGGCTCGCACTGACACGAGCATGGCTTCTGTCAAGTGTGTAGCTCAATTGCGACACGCATTTACCAGCGCTGAGGTAGACATGCACTTCAAGGCCCATACGGTGTCAGTACTCGTCCAGCAACACACACAGCTCCTGCACTCGCCCCATGGCAAACATACACTGGAATGAGCACCTGCCTCCCTGCCAGTGCCACTCACACCCCCCACCTGTGGCACGCATACATACCAGCACTGAGGTAGATGGGTACATACCAGTACTGAGGTAGATGGGTACATACCAGTACTAAGGTAGATGGGTGCACACCAGCACTGAGGTAGATGGGTACATACCAGCACTGAGGTAGATGGGTGCACACCAGCACTGAGGTAGATGGGTACATACCAGTACTGAGGTAGATGGGTACATACCAGTACTGAGGTAGATGGGTACATACCAGCACTGAGGTAGATGGGTACATACCAGCACTAAGGTAGATGGGTGCACACCAGCACTGAGGTAGATGGGTACATACCAGTACTGAGGTAGATGGGTACATACCAGCACTGAGGTAGATGGGTACATACCAGCACTGAGGTAGATGGGTACATACCAGCACTAAGGTAGATGGGTACATACCAGCACTGAGGTAGATGGGTACATACCAGCACTAAGGTAGATGGGTACATACCAGCACTAAGGTAGATGGGTACATCCAGCCCCATGCGGTGCCAGTACTCATCCAGCAGCACACACAGCTCCTGCGCTCGCCCCATGGCAAACACTGGGATGAGCACCTTGCCCCGTGCTGCCACGCATGTGTGCACGCGCGACAGGAAGTCTGCTTCTCGACTGCGCCGGGACTCGCGGATGGTCGTGGCGTAGGTAGATCTGGTGGGGGTTGGGAGGGCGGGAAAGGAGTGGGGGAATTGGATTGCGTTTGTCTTTCTAATTGACTGGGGGAAGCATGTTGAACTACAGGCAAGGCAGCACAGTGCAGGAGGAAGGATGATGCTCGCATGGCACGGCACTTCATGGCACGGCATGGCATGGCACGGCATGGCATGGCAAGGCATGGCATGGCATTGTGGCATGGCGCTGGGGTGCTCACTCGGAGATCATGAGGTCGGGTCGAAGGCGCGGATCCACCCTGGCTGCTCCCAGGTGCCTGTCAGGTGCCATGTTGAAATCACCTGAGGGATGCCATGTAGAAATCACCTGAGGGATGCTATGTTAAAATCACCTGAGAACAACAAGCAAGGACTTCTGAAACGCTGTGCGTGAGTTTGTGCACATCACCACCTCGTGTTGGAACCACCTGATGTTGGAACCACCTGATGTTGGAACCACCTGATGTTGGAATCACCTGATGTTGGAACCACCTGATGTTGGAATCACCTGATGTTGGAACCGCTTGAGCAGACGAGTTGAACTGAAACAAGTGCATGCAAGGCCGAAGGAACCTTGCTGCCAGGATGCTGTGCTGCCATAATGCCATGATGCCATGCTCTCACCAGTGTAAAGCACTGACGCCCCATTGCTCGCTTGCACGTGGAACATTGCTGCTCCCAGCACCTGGTGCCAGGCAAGGCAGGGCGGTGTGCAGGGGGGTGGAAGTTATGTGCCGTGTCGCATGGCAGCAATGGCACAGCATATGCTGCCACACATGTATACTCATGGTTACATGCACCCACGCACTCATGCACATAGCACCACATGCCATCCATGCCACGCCACACCATGCCATGCCATGCCACATGCCATGCCATTCCATCCCGGGCCATGCCATGCCACGCCATGGCCCATGAGTGCACTGACATGGCCGGCATAGTAGGGGGTGATGGTGATGTGCTCGTTCACTTGAATGCTCTGGTGGATGTCCACCGGGATCGCTGCACAGTGTGGACAGAGAGCACACGGGAGGGGAGCACGTAGGACGAGATTACCACTAATCCCGATCCAAGGGGAGATGCGGGATGTGATGGTGTCGTTATTGATGGCTGGTGAGAGATGAATCCCCTCACCCACCACACCTCCTATCACACCCTGCTCTCCCCCCTCTCACCTGACCTCGCCCAACGGCCACCTCCCTTCACGGACCCGCACCTGCCCCTCACTGCCCCCCCGCATCCCCTGCCTCCTGCCTTCTCGTCCCCCTCACCTCGGCCCACGGCCGCAGTGATATCCGCACTGGAGAACAGCCCCTCCTCGCCCTCGCCCCTGCGCTCCACCGCCACGCGCCGATAGTCCTCCAGCATCAGAGGGGCCAGCGCCTTGGTGGGGTACTGGGGAGTGGGGAGTGGTGAAAGAGGTGCAAGGACACATGAGAGAGTGGGGGGGAGGAATGGGAGCGCCCGCAGCAGCACCTCCGCTCCACCGCCACGCGCCGATAGTCCTCCAGCATCAGCGGGGCGAGGGCCTTGGTGGGGTACTGTGGAGTGGGGACCCGGTTGCAACAGGTGGGACAGAGTGAGGGAGGCAATGGGGCAGGCATTACAGTCAGCAGCAGTCCCTGTGCTCCACCGCCACGCGCCGATACTCCTCCAGCATCAGCGGGGCCAGCGCCTTGGTGGGGTACTGGGGAGGAGGAGCAGGCGGGAAATGCTGCATAGGAGGTGATTGAGTGTGAAGGGGACGAAACAGCTCCCATCACCCCCCAAGGCCCCGCTTTGATTCTGTTCTGTCGTTTCATTCTGGATTGCTGGCATGCCGAGCATCGGTATGCGTCCGCTCAGACAAGCAGTGCTCAGTCGTTTCTTTTAGGTGATGCAACGCGTGGTGAGCACTACTTGTCTAGAGAACTAGCACCGTGAAAATGAGGCGCCTGAACAAAATCATTGTCAGAGCGGGAGACAATGCATCTGACAGTCAAGGCATGCATCAGCTCAAAACAGGCACGACAATGGCACTCGCAACGACTGAAAACTGTCAGCACAAAACATCTGAAACAAACTCGTAGCAGAGCGGGAGGCAAGGCACTGACAGTCATGTAGACAGGACCCTGGTAGCCGCAGGCTTGCGTGAAATAGGGCAGCGCTCCACAGTGGTCCAAATGGCTGCATGCAGAGGAGGTGCATGGGGGGTGTGGGGCTGGGATTGGTGTGGTACCGGGCGGTTGTGAGCCCCACGGGAGCCACTTTTGAACGATCTCAAAAGTAACTTTGGAAGAAGATCGCTTGGGTGCACGGGAGGGGAGGGCGAGCGAGCCAGACCGAAGGAAAGTGTGAGAGGCGTGGGTGATGCTGCAGGAGGGATGAATGCTGGCAGTGATGAGGGGAAGAACGGAAGGCGCTAGGAGATCATAGAAGCATGGAAAGGGGCAAGGCGGGAGAGGGAAGGGAGGTGCGCACAAGTGGGTGACGATGACGCAGTCAATGATCCCCGTGTAGTCCACCGCACTGCCCCGCCCTTGCCCAACCCCAGACCCCAGCCCATGACCATGAAGCGAGAAGGAGGAGAAGAGGAGCGCACAAGTGGGTGATGATGACGCAGTCAATGATGCCCGTGTAGTCCACATGCTCCCCATCCTGCCTCTGCCACTGAGGGTGCTGCCCGTTGCTGAAGGCGCGCAGGCGGGGGAAGGCGGGGAAGCGGCGCGCGTCCTGATAGCCCATGTGCATACCGCAGTCGAACATGACCACTCTACCTCCCACCCGCACCACCACACAGCTCTTCCCCACGTCCTGCCCCGCTCCTGGCGACACAGTGCGGAATGAGCAATGGACGAATGGGATGTAGGGAGGAAGAAAGATGGTGCATTGCAGGGAGGGAAGGGAACACATGAGACCCCCCACGCGCACCACCACGCAGCTCTTTCCCACGTCCTGCCCCGCTCCTGATGGCACATTGGCAACAACCAATGGACGCATGGAATGCAGGGAGGAAGAATGATGGTGCAGGGACGGAAGGGAGCACATGAGTCTGCCCCCCACGCGCACCACCACACAGCTTTTCCCCACGTCCTGCCCCGCGCCTGGTGGCACAATGCAGAAACACAGGCACACGCAACACAAGGGGGGGCACACGGAGGAACAACGGTGCTGTAGCGGTGGGTTGATTGATTGAGGGCAGGAGAGCGCAAAGCAGAGAAAAACGCTTGCAGTGGGGTTCAAAGGAGCGGAAACGGGAAGTGAAGGCTTGCTGTGGGCGCTGGGTGACTGACCGAGTGGAAGGCAGGTGATTTCTGCCTTGTCCTCACCACCGCCACTAGTGGTACCACCACCACCAGCAGCAGCAGCAGCAGCAGCACCAGCAGCAGCAGCAGCAGCAGCACCAGCAGCAGCAGCAGCAGCAGCACCAGCAGCAGCAGCAGCAGCAGCACCAGCAAAACTGCCGCTCCTACCTCCGCCTCCTCCCTTTCCTCGACCTCCGCCTCTCCTTCCGCCTCCCCCCCAGCCCCTGCCACCATGCTCCCACCTGCCGCCTCTCCCCCTTCCCTCCATGCCCTCCCCTCTTCCCCATCCTTCTTCTCTACCCCACCCCCCCCCTCTTCCCCCATCTACCCCGCTCCTACCCCGCGCACCTCCCCCCAGGCCGCTCTCCCGTTCCGCCCCTCCCCCAACCCCCGCCCCCTCCCCTGCTTCACCCCCCCCTCCCCTTCCCCACTCGCCTCTTCCGCCACCCCGTCCGCCCACCGCCTCCCCCGCGCCTTTCCCCCATTCACCCCCTCCCTTGCGCTTCTTTCTGCCATGCCGCCCCATGCTATCGCAACGCTGCCACGTGTCACCCTAATACGCGCCCCCCATTGCAGCCCCCCGTCATAAGCACACAGATTCCATTGCCGCCTCTCTCGTTTGAATCCCGAATGCGACCGGCGCTCAATTTGGCCCTCCTCCTCCCCCCTCCGTCCCCCGGCCCCTCGTCGCGCCGATCCTCCTTCTTGCGCGGACGTCTACGCTTATGGGCGATGGGCGGAAAGAGCGACCAGGGGGGGAAACAGCGGTGGGGAGCGGGAACGAGTGCGGGCGCAGGGTTTGGTGAAGTGGAGGGTTTTGAAGCGCGGCGGAGTAGAGAGATGGTATTCGACCTCTGCGCGGTGAGGCGGATATGGGGCGCAAAAAAAGGGCAACTGTGAAAAACAAACGTGAAAGTAAAATAGGGGAAGGGGCCGAAATGTTAACTTGCACACGCCGATTGAGGGGATCGAACCCACGGCCACGTGGTTAAAAGCCACGCGCTCTACCACTGAGCTAAATCGGCTGTCACAAGCTTTAGCAAAAACATATAATACTAATGTGTTTTGCTATCCCCACCTTCGATCACTCCCAGGCCCATGGGTATGCCAACACGTGGTATTCTCACGACAAGTCAACCATGCAACCATCGACGCGCTTCGCCCCTGCGCGACTCGCGAGTCCTGATCTCCTCCGCCCAGCAATGGCCGCTAAATTCTCTTCCTCGCGCCCCGCCCCACCTTCTCCTCGTCACCATCGACCGTACCTCTCGCTCCCCTCGCCCTCTCGTGCCGCGCTCTCCTCTCGTGCCGCGCTCTCCTCTCGTGCCGCGCTCTCCTCTCGTGCCTCGCCCTCTTCTCATGCCTTGCCCGATCGACCACCAACCGTCGTCGCCGTTCTCCTCTTTTTTCTCGGCTTCTCGCTCTGCTCCGTTGCTCCAGCTTTTCGTGAATTTCTCGAATTCGCCCCTCCTTCCCCTCAACCTGCTCTCGCCCCGCCGTGAATAACGCCGTGAAACGCACTTCATCGTGACCCATGGCGCTGCTATCGGCCCCTCTCACCGCGACCCGCGGCTGCGTGCCGTCTGTGGCCCAGCCACTCCCCGCCGCCCGTGCGCGCACCCCCGCCGCATGCGCGCTCCCCTCTTCCGCGCGTCCCCTCCCCGTGGACCGTGCAACACGTCGCTCGTACGCGTTAACGGCGCGCATGCATGGGCGGGGGGGCTGGCTGAGGGGATGGCGGCGTGCGTCCGCTTCTGATGACAACAGTGCCAAAGAAACTGCTGACGTGGCACGCAGTGAGGATTACACGCCTCAATCTGACGTGGATGATGCTTCTGATGACATGGCGGAGGCGTCAGCAGCAGCGGCTGAGCTGGCAGCTGAGATGGCGGGCGAGGCTGCGGCTCAGGCTGCTAGCGTGTACGCCGCCACGGCTGCTGCTGCGAGGATGGAGGAGGAGAACGTGGGGGATGAGGAGGAGGGGAAAGGGGAGGGCAGTAAGGGGGCGGTGTCAGCTGCAGTGGGCGCTAGGGAGTCTGCTGCTGGCGGCGCTCCCTCTGATGTGAAAAAGGAGAGCCAGCAGCAGCAGCAGCAGCAGGAGATTCAGCAGCAGGAGGAGCAGCAGGAGGAGCAACAGGAGGAGCAACAGGAGGAGCAACAGGAGGAGCAGCAGAAGGAGCAGCAGCAGCCGCCCAATGGCCCGCCGCCTCGTCAGCTCCAATCCTCCAGCGCGCCAGCTGTGACGGGGCTGCGGCGCACGGTGTGGGGGCAGGAGGGCGTGGCGCCACAGTACCCCCCGTTACAGGAACACGTGACTGTAGACGTGGCGGTGGTGGGTGGCGGCATCAACGGGCTGAGCGTGGCGTACGCGCTGCTGGATAAACACCGCAAGGCCAGGGGCGGGGGAGGAGGAGGCAAGGACCTGTCAGTGGTGGTGCTGGAGGCACGGGCCATTGGTGCGTCACTTTTAGCTTTTACTCCTCTACCACACCTCTCTTGTTGCTGCACCACCCGCCCTCCTCTGCGCCACACTGCGCTTGTGCAGGTTTGGGTCAGTCCTAGCGCATCCCGTGCAAAAGTTGGCCTGACTACTTGCATGTGTGTGGCCCGTCTTTCTACTCTTCATGCCTGCGCCAGCTTCACCCCCTTCCTTGTCCCACACGCCTCTGCAGGTTTGGGCCAAACGAGGCGCACCACAACGCATCTGATGCCATGACTTGACATGAGTTGTCCAATCGTTTCTCCCCCCTCCACTCCTCACATGCATCTCTTCAGGTTTGGGCCAGACGGGCCGCACGACCGCGCATCTCATGCCGTGGAACGACGACTACTGCAGCGTGCTCGAGCGCCTGATGCATATGCTTGACATGAGTTCGACACTTTTTCCTCCTCCCCTTCACTTGCAGGTTCAGGCCAGACAGGGCGCACCACAGCACATCTCATGCCGTGGAACGACGACTACTACAGCGTGCTCGAGCGCCTCTTCGGGCGGCGCCGGGCGGCGCTGGTGGGCAGGAGCCACGTGGCCGCCATTGATTGGGTGGAGCGTGTGGTGCGGGAGCACGGCATCGAGTGCGAGTTTGAGCGAGTGGATGGATACCTCTTCCCGCATGACAACTCCGATGAGGCGAACCGCAATATGCTGGAGGTGGGTGGGTGGACGGGTGGGTGGGTGGGCAGGGCGCATGGCTGCATGCAGTTGATGAGTGGGTGGTTGGCTGGCCCATCAGCACATCTGCCTCATGGTCCAGGGAGAAAGAACAAAAAAAAAACAGCCTTCATCGCCTCCTCTAATGACCCCGCTCCTTCCTCCAACTCCCTAACTCCCTAATTCACCAGGAGCTGGCAGCGTGTGAGCGCATCGGCCTGTCGGACACCTCTCTGGTGGACCTGCAAGGCGACCCTGCCCTCGGCTCGCTCTCCTCTGCTCTCCGCTTCCCCAACGCCGCTGACTTCCACCCGCTCAAGTGAGTGAGACTGCTCAAGCGGTCGCCGCGCAGTTGTCTCTCTCTCTGGTCGCCACATCGCTGAAAGGGCTGCTCACTGCTCATGCAATCTCATACATCAGCTTGGGGGAAGAGATTGCATGAGCACTTCTCATGCATGCATGCAGCGCTTCCCACAGTTCTCGTGCACGTTCTCGTGCACGTTCTCGTGCACGTTCTCGTGCACATTCTCGTGCACGCTCTGATGCACGTTCTCATGCACGTTCTCATGCACGTTCTCATGCACGTTCTCATGCACGTTCTCATGCACGTTCTCATGCACGTTCTCGTGCACGTTCTCCTGCACGTTCTCATACACGTTCTCGTGCACGTTCTCGTGCACGTTCTCGTGCACATTCTCGTGCACGCTCTGATGCACGTTCTCATGCACGTTCTCATGCACGTTCTCATGCACGTTCTCATGCACGTTCTCATGCACGTTCTCATGCACGTTCTCGTGCACGTTCTCGTGCACGTTCTCCTGCACGTTCTCCTGCACGTTCTCGTGCACGTTCTCATGCATCTTCATCTTTTAAGCCATGTATTTCCTGATTCAGGTACCTTCATGGGCTAGCAAGTGTGATCACGGGCGTGGGAGGGAAGATCCATGGGAACACGCGGGTCAGAAGAATGCATGCAACCACTCTCTCCCGCATGCATGTGTGCCTCTCCCTCTCCACGCCTTCTTCCACAGGTACCTGCAGGGGCTAGCGAGCGCAGTGACTGCAATGGGAGGGAAGATCTACGAGAACACGCGGGTGATCCGCAACTCCTCGCTCTCCACCACTCTCGAGCTCAACACGGGCGTGCGCGTGACAGCTGGCAGCGTCGTATTGGCCACCAACTCGCCCATCAACCACAACCTGGCGGTGCACGCCAGGCAGAGCGCCTACCGGACCTATGTGGTGGGGCTGGCTGTTCCCAAGGGCAGTGTGCGGTGAGTGGTTGGGAGGTGTGGAGTGCGGTGGACTAAGTGCGGTAATGGTGGGTAATGGTGGTGTGGTAGTCGTCTCCCTACCACTATGTGTGCATGCCTACCAGCACACTTCATCTCCTCTCGCTCTTCCCCCCCTCTCTTGCTCCCCCACCAGGCGCGCCCAGTGGTGGGACACCGCGTCGCCCTACCACTACGTGCGCATCGCTCCCGGCCCGAGCGAGGCGGAGGCAGACACGCTGATAGTGGGCGGTGAGGACCACCCCACGGGGGTGCTGGCGCCTAAGGAGTATCCCCAGGCATATGCGCGGCTGGAGAAGTGGGCGCGGGAGAGGTGGACGAGCGCTGGAAAAGTCGCTTTCAGGTGGACGGGCCAGGTGAGAATTCTGGATGTGCCCCTGCTCCCGGCCCTGGCCCTGGAGGAAGGGGCGGAGGCAGACACGCTCATAGTGGGGGTGAAGACCACCCCACAGGGGTGCTGGCATATGCACGCCTAGAGAAGTGGGCGCGGGAGAGGTGGACGAGCGCTGGAAAAGTCGCTTTCAGGTGGACGGGCCAGGTGAGAATTCTGGATGTGCCCCTGCTCCCGGCCCTGGCCCTGGAGGAAGGGGCGGAGGCAGACACGCTCATAGTGGGGGGTGAATACCACCCCACAGGGGTGCTGGCATATGCACGCCTAGAGAAGTGGGCGCGGGAGAGGTGGACGAGCGCAGGAAAAGTCGTTTTCAGGTGGACGGGGCAGGTGAGAATTCTGGATGTGCCCCTGCTCCCGGCCCTGGCCCTGGAGGAAGGGGCGGAGGCAGACACGCTCATAGTGGGGGGTGAAGACCACCCCACAGGGGTGCTGGCATATGCACGCCTAGAGAAGTGGGCGCGGGAGAGGTGGACGAGCGCTGGACGAGTGGTCTCCAGGTGGTCGGGGCAGGTGGGTTCTGGGCGGGTGCTTTCTGGGCGGGAGGAGTGCAGACGACGCTGTGCTGTGCTGATGCGGCCCAATGACAACCCACCAACCTTCTCTTGCTGCTCTCCTGCCTCTCTCATTGCATGCCTCTTCTCTTCTGCTCCCCCTTCCCCCTCGGCACGCCAGTTGTACGAGCCAGTGGACCTCCTGGGGCTGTACGGCAGGAACCCTCTCGTGAACCGACCGTCCAAGGACATTTACATCGTCACAGGTATTGCCCCAGAATCCAGATGCCGTCTGCATGGTCGCACGTGCAGGGCCAGATGTCATGTGCCGTGCAGGCAAGGGCTGGAAGAGACTGGGTAGCCAGGGCTGCTGCAAGGTGACATGACAGCTGTGTAATCGTCCAGCGTCAGATGGCAGCAATATGGACGCTGGACGATTACACAGCTGTAGGTGCTGTTACAAGAAATGGTGATGGTATGGTACGGATGCTTGCACTGGTGTCTCTCACTTCGGATTGCAGAAAGGTGTCCACAGCTGCACTCGCAAATCTCTCCCTGCCCTCGTCTCCCCTCAACCCACCCCTCTCAATCTCGCACCATGCCCTTCCACCATCCCGTCTCGCCATGCCCGCTGACCATGCCCTTCCCCCTTTGCCCAGGCAACAGTGGGCAGGGCATGACGGGCGGCACCATATCCGGGCTCGTGGTATCAGATTTGATTCTGTCGGGGCGCAGTGAGTGGGAGGAGCTGTACGACCCACGCCGCCTGCCACCGCTCTCCCAGGAGACAGCTCAGAGCATTGCAAGCATCACGGCACACACTGCCCAGGTGTGTGGAAGCATGCAGCATAAGCGAGTGGGAGGAGCTGTACGACCCGCATCGCCAGTATCACGGCACACACTGCCCAGGTGTGTGGAACCTCGCACAATATCACCGCCTGCCACCGCTCTACCTGGAGACAGCTCCGAGCATCGCAAGCATCACTGCCCACACGGCCCAGGTGTGCAGCAGTGCGTGTGAATCACACATCCTCACACCATCACACATCATGAAATCAAACACCCTCACCCGCAGCATGGCTCACGTGTCCCACAGTGCGCGCGCATGGAATGCCACCCCCCGACCACGTTCACCCCCCGACCACGTTCACCCCCCGACCACGTTCACCCCCCGACCACGTTCACCCCCCGACCACGTTCACCCCCCAACGACGTTCACCCCCCGACGACGTTTACCCCCCAACGACGTTCACCCCCCGACGACGTTCACCCCCCAACGACGTTCACCCCCCAACGACGTTCACCCCCCAACGACGTTCACCCCCCGACGACGTTCACCCCCCGACGACGTTCACCCCCCGACGACGTTCACCCCCCGACGACGTTCACCCCCCCAACGACGTTCACCCCCCAACGACGTTCACCCCCCAACGACGTTCACCCCCCAACGACGTTCACCCCCCAACGACGTTCACCCCCCAACGACGTTCACCCCCCGACGACGTTCACCCCCCAACGACGTTCACCCCCCGACGACGTTCACCCCCCGACGACGTTCACCCCCCAACGACGTTCACCCCCCGACGACGTTCACCCCCCGACGACGTTCACCCCCCGACGACGTTCACCCCCCGACGACGTTCACCCCCCGACGACGTTCACCCCCCAACGACGTTCACCCCCCGACGACGTTCACCCCCCGACGACGTTCACCCCCCGACGACGTTCACCCCCCGACCACGTTCACCCCCCGACCACGTTCACCCCCCGACGACGTTCACCCCCCGACCACGTTCACCCCCCGACCACGTTCACCCCCCAACAACAGCATGGTTCAGGTGTCCCACAGTGCGCGCGCATGTAATGCCACACCCCCCAACAACGTTCTTCATTTCAACCCCACCAGGGCTACGCCTTTGGTCTGCCAGTGGTGCCGGTAGATGAGCGGTGGATGGACAGGAGGAGGGCTGAACTTCCATGCTACCATTCAATCCACCACCTTCCATTTCCATCCCTACTACATCCGTCCCACCAGGGCTACGCCTTTGACTTGCCAATCGTGCCGGGAGATGAGCGCTCGGTGGACAGGGTGAAGCCGGGGGAGGGTGCGCTGGTGGCGGTGGGGCTGCACAAGCAGGCCGTGTACCGCACGGAGGGGGGCGAGCTGAAGCAGTTCTCAGGTGAAAATATAGCCACGTGAAAATATAGCAGTTCTCAGCTGAGACGTCTCAAAACACTCCTTCTTTCAGGTGAAAATACAGGGCTGAACACAGACACCGGGGGGTTAGCAGGTCAGTGCACAGCTGAAAGTAGTCATGATTCAGAAAGTATAGGAGTTCTGCCAAGCATGCTTCTCTGGAGAAGCAGACACGTACACTCACTAACATGGCCCTTGTTTTGGGATGTTGCAAAAACGGTGAGGCTTTTGCTAACTTCATCTTACTCCTCGTTCCCCTCCCCTCCCATGTCCCTTCCTTTTGCCAGCCATCTGCCCGCACCTCAAGTGCGCGGTCAGGTGGAACCCCAACGACAAAACTTTCGACTGCCCGTGCCATGGGTCCCAGTTTGACACGTCAGGGAGGGTGATTCAAGGCCCTGCCAAGGCCAACCTCTCCCCCGTCTCCCGTGATGGCTGCTGTGGTTGATGGAGTGGAGACCCAATGGTTGCGTGTGAAGAGATGGAGAGGGATTGGCTGTGGTGGACGAGGCTGAAAAGCTGTAGAGATACAGTAAAACCCAGAGTGTATATTGCATCTGCTGTACATTTGTTAGTATATCGGATACTGTAACATCACATCAGGGCTGATACATGATCTGTAGATTCAGTATTAACAGCCGTGGAGCAGGGTAATGCAGTGCGGGATACACTAATGAAACCAGGGAAAACTTTAATGTACAAGATGCACATAAGTCCGCCTGCCTGTGGAGAAGACGACTTACCTTCACTTACTTCCTTCTGCCACTTTTAGCGGCAGGGACGGTTACCATAGCATTTAACAGTCTCGCCTGGTTGGAGAGTGGTGGTTAAGCACACTTGCCTTGCCGCCAGTGGAGGTGTCACTGCCAGTACTGTGTTCATCTATAAATGGTCCCCACCATGTGTGGCAGCAGCGCAAACACCGACTCGCTGATGAGCTCCTGGATGAATCTCTCGCATTATTGAAACATGTTTCCCTCAATGCCAGTACAGATATCAGCGCCAGTACTGCGCCCATCTATGTATCGTCTCCACCATGTGCGGCAGCAGCGCCGACACCGACTCGTTGATGAGCTCCTGGATGAACTGCACTGCCGCCTCGTCATCCAGATCGAGACGGAACTTCTGCTGCAACTGTGGAGTGCAGAGGGAATGGGGGAGGGAGGAACAGCAAGTGGGAGGGTGTGGGGGGAGGGAGGGTAAGCGGGTGGATAGGACAGGTGGACATGAGCTCCTGGATGAACTGCACTGCCGCCTCGTCATACGAATCGAGATGGAACTTCTGCTGGAGCTGTAGGGGGGGGGGGGAGAGGAGAAAAGAGGGCGCGGAGGCGTAGTGGTTCCTGTGAGCGCATCAGGAAGAGTGCGTGGATGAGCTGCAGTGCCACCTCATAGTCTAGATCAAGACGGAACTTCTGCTGCAACTGTGCGGGGGAAAGGGGGGAGATGGAGAAGGGGAGGTGCCATGATTGCACACACCACCAAGGCTATGACTACTACGACTCACCTTGGTGAGCAGCTGGTCGGGATCGTGCGAGGCGATGTCAGGAATGCTGGCATGCGCCATGAGGTGGAAGAGGTTGAGGAAGAGGCGGCTGCTGGCTCGCAGGATGTTGAATGCCTCACAGCAGTAGGAGCGGAAGCGCACGTACTCGGGACTGGCAGCGGAGAAAGAGGTCGGGGGCAAAGGGAAGGAGGGGAGGGCCGGGGAGGGCAGGGGAGGTGAAGGGGTGAGGAGAAGTGAGGTTGTTCGATTGAGGCGGCTGCTGGCTCGCAGGATGTTGAATGCCGTGCAGCAGTAGGAGGGGAAGTGCAGATACTCGAGACTGAAAGAAGGGAGAAGGGAGGTTGGGCAGTGGGGGTGGGTGAGTGCAGAAGGGAGAAGGGTGGTAGCTGTCAGGATGCTGAAGGCCTCACAGAAGTATGGCTAAAGGGCTACAGGGTTAAAGTGGGTGAGTGGAGCAGGGGGGTTGGGTCAGGGATGGGAGAAAGGAGTCGGGGGGGTTGGTGAAGACAGGGCTTCTAGAAGCACACTCGACAGTACAGTGGACTGCAGAGTGAAATAAAAGTGCCATCCTGGTGGCATCTTGTGTCCTCTCTCACCTTCTCCCCCCCCTCATGGCTTGGAGCATCCCCTCGCAGAGCTTGCCCATGCAACCCACACGCCCATCTGTACGTCTCAAACCACAGCATCCCTCTTTGCCCCCCATGGCGACCCTCTCTAACCTGCTCGCGCCCCCCACTGCAACCCTCTCTCACCTGCTCGCGCCCCCCACTGCAACCCTCTCTCACCTGCTCGCGCCCCCCACTGCAACCCTCTCTCACCTGCTTGCACCCCCCATGGCGTCGAGCATCTCCTTGCAGAGCTTCATGGGCGGCGGGAACGGCTTGGGGTCCCGGCCAAAGATGTAGCCAAAGTCAATGTGGAAGAGACGCCCGTCCGTGCACAGCAGTAGATTGTCCAGATGCCTGGTGGAAGGGGAAGGAGGGGGTTGGGGGGGAGGGAGGGGAGGGGAGGGACAGTGACAAGGGTTACTCAGACACAAGACGACGCAGCTGAGCGTGCTAGCAACGCAGCAGAGCCTGCTAGCCACGCAGCAAAGCGTGCTAGCAACGCAGCCGAGCGTGCTAGCAACGCAGCTGAGCGTGCTAGCAACGCAGCAGAGCGTGCTAGCCACGCAGCTGAGCGTGCTAGCCACGCAGCTGGGCGTGCTAGCAATGCAGCTGGGCGTGCTAGCAACGCAGCAGAGCGTGCTAGCAACGCAGCAGAGCGTGCTAGCAACGCAGCAGAGCGTGCTAGCCACGCAGCAGAGCGTGCTAGCAACGCAGCTGATCGTGCTAGCAACGCAGCAGAGCGTGCTAGCAACGCAGCAGAGCGTGCTAGCAACGCAGCAGAGCATGCTAGCAACGCAGCTGATCGTGCTAGCAACGCAGCTGATCGCTGAGCGTGCTAGCAGCGCAGCATAGCATGCTAGCAACGCAGCTGATCGTGCTAGCAACGCAGCATAGCATGCTAGAAACTCAGCAGAGCGTGCTAGCAACGCAGCTGAGCGTGCTAGCAACGCAGCTGAGCGTGCTAGCAACGCGACTGAGCATGGTAGCAACGCAGCTGAGTTAACGCAGCTACTTTCCTGTCGCCCATGCCGAGAATACATGGCAACATAACAGCCAGGGCATTTTAGAATCGTGTCAGCAACTTGCCTGTCGCCCACGCCGAGGATGTACATGGTAACACAGTAACCAGCGCAGCTGCGTATGAAGGTGTCGAGGCAGGTGGGCGTGATGCCGTAGGGTGACTCGGCGTCCGGGTGGAACTGGTGCAGGTAGCGCTCTATTGACCGGTACTCCGCCAATACCTGTACAGAGGAGGGTGGGCGGGGGAGTTGGTGAAAAAATTGCTACTTGTGAGGTGCATCAGGACTGGAAGGAGGGTGCGGAACTGGAGCAGGTGCTAGGGCCCACACTCCAGACTGCAGTTTGCAGGCAAGGTATCACAAACACTTGAAAACACCTGAGAGTACCTGAGCTAACCTGAGAGCACCTGAGAGCACCTGGGGAGGGCAGGCGGACCTGAGCGAGGGGCATGGAGGGCACGAACTCGACGAAGCCCTGGTCTGCAGCGGTGGCAAGCACGCGGTAGGGCGTGAGGCAGAGGTCGAGATTCTCCTTCTTGAGCAGCTTGTCCATGAGCGTCACCATCTGAATCACCTGCTCTCATGGCCCATTTGGCCATGTATGTGGCAAGAGGGGGGATGCGGGAGTGAGGTAGTGGTGAGGCAGGGAGGGAGTGGGGGAGGGAGGTAAGGAGAGGAAAAAGAACGGCACATAATCCGCGACAACAAGCTGGCTCGTTCGTTTCAGGAAATGAGAGCCTAAGAGAGTCTTGCCATGGTTGGTGCGATTTCTTCTCACCGGTCAAACTCTCCTCAGGTCATCTCACCAGCTGGTCCTGCCTCAGGTCATCTCCCTTCTTGAAAATGACACGGCACAGGCCGCCATCCTCCTTCCTGAACGCCAGCTTGAGAGGATGCAGCATGCTCTTGAACACACTTGAATCCTCTGCTGCTATCCCCACCACCCGGATCGATGGCTCCACTGGCAGGGCTAGAGGCTGTGGGAGTGTTGGGTGAGGAGAAAATGAGTGGAGGGGTGAGCAAGATGGTGTGGCAGGAGAGTGAAAGTGGACCTACTCCATCTCACTCGTAAGCCAGCACACAATGAAACCAACTCGGGTAAGCCTCATCCCACACCTGAGCGAAGTTGGCAAGGCTGCCGTCAGTGTCAGCAGAGAGCAGCGAGCGCAGCTGCTCCACCTTGAGCGCGGTGCTGCCCCTCACGGCATTGATGGCCTGCATGGTGCCCGCCAGGGCTGAATCCCAGCTACCCACCTGAGCGAAATTAGCGAGGCTGCCGTCGGTGTCAGCAGAGAGCAGCGCGCGCAGCTGCTCCACCTTCCGGGCAGTGCTGCCCCTCACGGCATTGATGGCCTGCATGGTGCCCGCCAGGGCTGAATCCCAGCTACCCACCTGAGCGAAATTAGCGAGGCTGCCGTCGGTGTCAGCAGAGAGCAGCGCGCGCAGCTGCTCCACCTTCCGGGCAGTGCTGCCCCTCACGGCATTGATGGCCTGCATGGTGCCCGCCAGCGCTAGATCCAGCTCACACTGCCGCATCAGCTGCGCGTGCACCTCCGCTCCCTCTGCTCCCAACTGCGGAATGGGGATGGGAGGGAGGGTGGAAAGCGAGAGCAATGCAAGGCTTGGCCCACGCATGAGAATAGCCTAGCAGGGCTACCGTCAGTGTCAGCCGTGAGCAGCGCTGCAGCTGCTGCTGCCTCGCACGACGTTGATGGCCTGCATGGTGCCTGCCAGTGCTGCATCCAGCTCACACTGCCTCATCAGCTGTGCGTACACCTTCGCTCCCTCTGCTCCCAGCTGCGGTGGGAGGAGGGGAGGCAGCAGAGGGAGATGCAAGAATTGGCCCATACATGATAATAATCTAGCACGGCTGCCATCAGTGTGAGCAGGGGGGGGTGCATTGGAAACAAAGCGTGGAAGAAAGAAGGGGATACTGGCAAGCACGTTCATGGGAAAGGAGGCTGACCTCGAGCAGGGTGGCAAGGAGATGATCATGCACGAAGGCGTAGCGCGAGGCAAACACGTGGTCCTGTGGTAGAAGCAGCATGGGTTGAGCAGCTTGGGAGAAGATAAGTGGGAGCGGTTGATTTGGGAGTGGATAAATGAAAGGTAGACATGGTCCATGAACGTGTAGTTGGAACAAGGCATGGCAGCCAAAGGATGCAACAAGTAGATTGAAGTCCATCCGGTTTGGTAGAGTGCTAGGTCTTGGAACCAATTCGATCATCAATTTCGCCCACATACCTCCTTTCATTCCTTGAGAGCGCAAAACAGCGTTGACTCGTGTGTTTACAGAACGGGGTGCCTCACCTGGCGCTCCACCTGCAGATACCAGTGAAGGAAATTCGCCAACTCAAAGTTATGGCAGCCTGTAGGGAGGATGGAACAAGTTACAGAGAAGGGATGAGCTCAGAGCGCATGAGTGAAAACAAGGCACCCATGCAGAACAGGTAAGATTAGGCATTGAAACACTGGGTCCACAGAGACTCAGAAGAAAGGATGAGGTTCTTACCTAAAGCAAATTGTTATGAATAGTCCTACCTCGAGAGATGAGGAAGAGCGCAAGGTTGGAGAAGTCAGAGCGCTCGTATCGGAGGGCGTGTACGAGCTGCAGCAGATAGCTCTTCAGCTCCTCGTCTCCTGCTCGCTCCAACACCGTCACCGCGTATGCACGTACCTACACCAGTGGAGAAGAGGGCGGGGGGCGTTGCATGAGTGAAAGCAGCAAAGGGTGGGAGTGCATGGGAAACAAGCCTGAGTGGCTTACAGTGAAGCATGGATGGGACACAGACGTGCAAGGAATACAAAACACAACAGCTCCACTGAGAGGTGGTTGTGTTGTGTATGTTTGACGAAGCACTCACCTCCTCACATGAGAACGTGGGGCAGAGCAGTTCGAGTGCATCAGCAGTGTCAATGGGAGCCCATGCATACATCAGCTCCGTGCCCTCTCGTGCCTCCTGGAGGCGGGAAAGAGACACGTAGAAACATTCAGGAGTGTTAACAAGAGTCCACGTAGTGTCGTCAGCAGAATCGGCACAGTCCTACAGGCATATCAGCAGCAGCCAGTGCTCAGAGGAGACAGATCGAAGACGGGCATAGGAGGTACGAGTGTGTACAGGCAGGCATGCTCACATGCGTCCAGGCACACCTTCCCCCCACCCACCCCTGCAGAGTGGCTGCCCAGCCAACTGCCCTTAGCGCAGCACTACCTGCCACGGAACTTCAACCCCATCCCCAACCCTGCAAGCATACCGCTCACCTCCGCATCGCTCCAGTCAACGCAGCGCAGGAAGCGAGTGAGGGCGCGGCGATCGGTGGTGAGGGAGAAGCGGAATCGCCACAGCAGCTGCACGTCCTCTGGGGAGAGCGACTGGGTGGGTGGATAACTCAGGATAGTGGCAATGGCCCTGCCACACACGACATTGGAGGCTTTAATAAGAATTCTAGCGAAAATCTGAGGTACTTTTTGAAATTCATCTGAGGCACTTTTTGAAATTCTCAGAACTTACTTTCTCTCAGCGAGGTTGGGCTTGAGATCCCGCTCCATGTTACCGCGGGTGAGCATGCGAGTGAGCTTGAGCTGCTTGGCCTCTGCCGGGTTGACTCGCTGCTCTATCTCCGGGTCCCACAGCACCACCACCTCGTTGCTCGCTGGGATGGGAGCCACGCCTATTGGTGCCGCCCCTGTGCCGATTGCACTGCTGCTGATGGCTCCTCCTGCTGCTCCGCCGCTGCCCACCCCTGCCACTCCTGCTGCGCCTAGCTCCTGGAGTGGTAAATGTGGGCAGGGAGCGGCAGTGAAGGGAAGAGACGGGCAGAGAGGGTGCAAAGAGGAGGATGCAAAGAGGTGGTGGTGAAGGCTGCGATGTGTTGCTGATTGTGGGTTCTGAAATTGTCTCGACAGAGCCAGCAACAGTGTGCTGGATTCGATTAAACCAATAGCAAGAGCTGACGCAAATCTAGGTAGTAGGGTGAAGCGCCAGAAGAAGTGGTGAACCACTAAGGAATTGGCAAAGCACAATAAACTACAAATGGGTCTTTGGCATCACTTATGTCATCAAACCATTTACCACCTATCAAGCTTCCCATCCCCTGCCAATTCTATACCTGAAACGCCACTGGATGGTCAAACGTTGGAAACTCCACGACCAATCTTGCCGCCATGCTTCCCCGCTTCCTGGAGCGTTCCTTCTCCTCCCCCTCGAGAATGGTGTCGATGGCAGCAAAGGCGAGATCATCCAGCCAATCAGCTCTTGCCATCTGGCCGCGGTCATAGCGGTTCACCAACCTCTCCAACCTCTCAGTCTCCCCTTGCTCCTCCTTAGGAACCTGGAAGGACAGGATACAGAGAATCGAGAGACGAAATTAGTATGAGCAGCAGCTAATGCTCCACACGAAATGGGGAGCTATTTGGCTCTTTACCTTCCCTGGTGTTCTGCAGGGCACTCCTCCATCCGCCTTCTTCCCCAGCCATACGCGTGCTTTAAACCGCCCCATTTTCAGCATATGCTGCATCTGAGCTCCTGCTGCCAGGCCAACACCCGAGCCTGGGGTAAGGCCTGGTAGTGAGCCAAAATCGGCACCAAAGCAGGCGCCAGGATAGGAAGAGAGGTCGTCTGGGACGCTCGGAAGAGGTGTGTGGGTTGAAAGCGGTGACGATGATCTTGGTGAGGTGGAGGGGGGTGAAGGGGGAGGGTGGGCTGACATGGTGTGGGAGAAGAGTGGGAGTGTGGTGCCACCAACCACACGTGGCCTGTTTTGACACTTCAAGTCCCAGATCTGTAAAGAGGTCAGCAGGAAGAAGGGATTCAGGGTGTGTGGACATAAAGTCGTTATAGGTGAAGAGTCAACTACTTGAATAGCTCAACACAACCGCAGTGAAAGGTGAGCTTGGAAACAGAATCTTACAGTGAAAGCAATGAAGGAATACGCAGAGATGTCACAGTACTTGGCTGTCAGTAGGACCCATTCGTCCCATCGCCATTTCCCACCATCGGCCTCACTCCATGTTGCATTCCTGCCAGTCCGAGCAGCGCCAAAGCAAGAAAGATTCACAGTGTGGTCATTGGGTTATATGCGCACATGGAGAGATTTGTCAAAATCAGACACGCACACTCTGGAAGTGACAGCTGCATATGAGACCTGCTCTGGGCCTGTTTCACAGAAACCGGTTAATTTCTCGTACTAATTACCAGCCAATTACCCCGTGACGACGGGTTGGCCAAACGACACTCCGTCAATGAATAGCTCGCACTCCACGCAAAGAGCACGTGTCTCCTGACAGCTCGGGTCACTGAGGCATGAGTCGTCTGCACTTGGCCGCCTTCTGCCATGCGCTTCAGTGGAGGAGCTGTGCTCGCGAGCGCAAGAGGTAGCGTCTGCACTCATGAAGTGAGAAACGCCCGTGGGCTCAGTCAACGGAGAAATTTAGCAGCCACGGGAGAAGAGGGGCATGATTATACAAGACAAGGTCTTCATAACAAGTGGTGGGTTGGTCACAGCGGCTGCATACCTCCAGCTGAGCCGGCAATCGCGTCGATGTTCCCTAGAAGACTCTCGACTTTAAAGCGTATGGGTAAGTTGATGTCGCACGAGAGGAAAAAACGGAAGTCCGACGAGCTCGCCATAAGAACGACTTTCTAAAAAAAACGACAATAAAAGTCGGTCCACAGTAGGATGCAATAGCTGGAACGAGTTGCTTGTCGACGTTTCTTGATGTGCCTACAACTCTCTAACGATAAATCAGAACCGTCAGTATCCAAAACAGCCTCATAAACGACCGCCAGGGAATCCGAAACCACGAATCCCAGCGCAGAATAAGTCGACTGTTAATGATGAAGGATGATGGTGACAACACACTTTGGGAACGGAGGGGCCATGGTTGATCATTCGGGCTTGGGAACTCCACACAGGAATAGAAATTTGTGATGCCGCCAGCAACTTCTGAAAATGACCTTCGAATTCCATGCACAACTTGGTGTCTCGCTGACGTGATTTATGCGAAAGTGTGCGCATCACATAACCATGCTAAACGAAACCTCAAATTGTAACACTTCTCTTCGTGTGAGTTCGCAAAAGTACACCCACTTCTGACAACGGTAATCATCTGCTGATTCTCAATAGCAAATCCATTTCACTGATTCCTTGTTTCCCTGAATCCCTTGTCAGATCAGGTAGTCCTGTGCGGTGCGTGCCTGAACTGACTCTGGTATTCGAGCATTAGATTCCTCGAATAAAGCTGTGAGGAATTTTCGCAAGAGGAATTCGAGCGTGTTGACGCTTATTCTCGATTCGTTCAGTCCGGATTTGCGGTAGCAAGGTCGACTGATCAAAGCCATGGCAGACGCAATGATCACGGAGACTCCACCTGCTGCATCATCGTCGTCGTATCCCGCCACGCCTGAATCCCTCGAGCGTGCTTCTGAGCTCGCATCTACCGATCCCTCGGCCGCTGCTGCGATCTATCGCGGGATTATCCAGGATGATGCCACGTCAGCCGATGCGCTTCGGACGAAGGAGACCGCCGTATGCAGTCTCGGCGAGATTCTTTCCAAACAAGGAAAGGCTGAGGAGCTTCGTGACCTCCTGACCGACTTACGTCCTTATTTCGCTCTTATTCCTAAGGCGAAGACCGCTAAGCTTGTCCGTACCGTGATCGATCTAGTAGCGAAGATACCTAACAGCACGGATGTGCAGCTCGCCTTGTGCAAGGAAATGGTCGAGTGGACCAAGAAGGAGAAGCGAACCTTCCTTCGTCAGCGAGTCGAAGCGAGACTCGGCGCGCTGTACATGGAGACTAAGGACTACCAGACCGCGCTGGCGTTAACTAGCAATCTTGTCAGGGAGGTAAGGCGGCTCGACGACAAGCTCCTATTGGTCGACATTGATCTTCTCGAGAGCCGGCTCCACCATCAACTTCGGAACATTCCTAAGGCTAAAGCGGCGTTAACTGCGGCGCGAACTGCGGCGAACTCGATTTATGTGCCGCCGGCGCAGCAGGGTCAGATTGACATGCAGTCAGGCGTGCTGCACGCAGAGGAGAAGGACTACAAGACGGCGTACTCGTACTTCTTTGAGGCCTTTGAGTGCTTTAACGGACTGGACGACCCCAAGACCGTTCCCTGCCTCAAGTACATGCTGCTCTGCAAGGTAATGCTGCTGCATCTGAGGCTGGTCTGTGCCTGGCTGCAATTCTGGGAATTCCTATTTTAACATAATTAACAGCGCTTGTTTAGCGTGATGCAGTTCGGCAATTTCCTCATCAGTTGTTCAATTTTCTTTCATTGCTGGCTTATTTCACCTTTATGCCTTCCTTACAGATCATGCTGAATCAAGCTGATGACGTTGCAAGCATCATTGCCAGCAAGGCAGCTCTTAAGTACACGGGTGATGAGGTGGACGCTATGAAGACCGTCGCAACAGCGCACAGTCAGCGGTCGCTCAAGTCTTTTGAGGAGGCCTTGCGCACTTATAAGCACCAGCTTTCTGATGACCCAATTATCAGCCGCCACCTGGCAGCGTTGTACGACTCCCTGCTGGAGCAGAATCTGCTGAGGCTGATTGAGCCATACTCATGTGTGGAGATCGCTCACATCTCATCTCTGATTGGCCTGCCATTGGAAAAGGTATGCATTTGGGACAGGACAGGTTGAAATGTGCTGGAAGAATTTCCAAACATGCAGCTGATTTGTCGTTCCTATTTTCAGTGAAGATTGCATGTCTGGTGTGATATCTTATGGACTGGTAAGTGCAGATGAGTCATCCCATTGCCTGGGTTCACAGGTGCTGAGTGAAGCCTACGGATGTGAAGACATATTTCACTTGTCTTTACATTTCCCCCTTCCCTTGCAGAAACATTAATTCCGTTTTCTATGTCAATGCATGCCTTCCATCCCCTCATCCCCTTTCCTCCTACACTCCGCCCTTTCCCCCTGCCTCTTCCGCCATCTGCCTCTCAGGTGGAGTCGAAGCTGTCTCAGATGATCCTGGACCGCAAGTTTGAGGGCACATTGGATCAGGGAGCAGGCAACCTGGTGGTGTTCCAGCCACAGGTGCCGGACGCACTGTACCCAGCAGCCATAGACACCATTGTGCACATGAACCAGGTCGTCGACAGCCTCTTCGTGCGCTCCAAGCGCATCATGGCATAGCTCACTCTGCTGTAGGCTGGTTACCGTACAACAGTTCTGAATTCTGGTGGTGTTGTGCTGATTGTCATGTGGTTAGCCAGAGTGGCATGCCCTAACGCATTCTTTTGCACTGCAGTGTGTACCAAGTTAACATCATGTACATTGGCCAGGAAATGAACAGGATTTTCTTTCTACAATGGACTGTCAAATTTGGATAGATTCGAAAAGACGGGTTCCAGGAAGCACTCTGCTGGGCAAAGACTCTGGTGAAGTTTTGTTTCTTGGAAAAGATGCTTGTTCTAGAAGTTTCACTGACTAAGGAACAAGGGGTCTGCAGCAGGGCCCTCGTTATCAGACCAAATTGGTCTGATTTTCTGATTTTCAGACCTTGATTTTGGGTTTCATCTGATTTTCAAGACGAGGATTTTTACTTCGTCTGATCCGTAAGATTACGAAATTTAGTTCATCTGATTTTTCAGAGCAAGCCTTAGTCTGTGTTGGGAACAAATAGCCTTAAGCGCTTATGTCGTGTCAAAACTTCAAGACACAAGCGAAGCAGAGCAAATCGAAGCACCAGCGAGTCAACCCTCGGAGTTGATGTAACCGCTGGAGGTTACGAGAAAGTCAAAGGTCAGCGACCTCTGACTTGACAAATGCAGCGCGACAGCAAGGACACACAACTGACTCGACATTGAGCAGTTGCCCGAGTCGCACTGTATCGAACCGCAACAGTAAAGTAGTTACAATTATGTCTCTTCATATTATCTGTACTCATATATATATATATATATATATATATTCTTGTATCCCTTTGTTTTAATCAACTCACTTTGCCCTCACATACTAGCGCAAGGTGGTTCAAGGACTTCATTAAAATGCTTCCGCTACTACATCATTTACTCAGACTTCAACTCTACTGAAGATCCTAGGGCGTTCAGCCCAACATGGTATGAGAGCAGGTTAGAGTTAATATTTTCTCTTCAACACTTAATACATCAAGAAGACATGTCTACTAGAAAGGAGAGGAGCTCCTCCAACGGCTCTCCCGATACTACCCCTACTCCACCTTCTGCCTCTGGCCTACTGACAGAGGAAGGGACAACAACTAGACCAGCAGCTGGGTCTACGGAAACACCCGCAAACCAAGGCGCGGGCTTCGATCCAAGTATGATGGAGAAATTCTTCTCCTTCATGTCCTTCTACGAGCAGCATCAGCAAGGAGTACCTGCACAATCAAACAACAGCAACAACAACAACAACGTGACCAGGCCCTCAGATATCAGCGTAAAACACGCTGATTACGCTGATTTTATAGCTCATAATTTCGTTTTCCCTGAAAATTCAGCATATGCTTCAAATTTGCACTGAAATTTCAGTATAACATACCTTGCCACACTGGCCATTTTCCGTGTTGCTGTACAAGTAACACTGACAAATCAGTGTAGTGTCGTGAGTCACACTGAAACGGACTAGACCGATTCGGGGTGGTACGCGTGTGTACAGTCTGTACCTGGCCTGGGATTCACGAGACCCCACTAGGCTGTACCTGGCCCGGGATTCGCGAGACCTCACTCACACACTTAGGGCGTGTTCCTACACCTCGTATCAGACACATCTCGTATCAGCTTCGCGTGGTTAAATAATGTTTCAGTGTGTTCAACTGCGGTTGGATGCGTTTTAGTGCGTTTCGACGCAAATCTGATACGAGGTTGCCTGATATGAGGCCGTAGGAACATGCTCTTAACGATGCATGCGCTGTACAGATCGCGCGCCGACGTGTTCTGCATCGCTGGAAGGAGCTCTCACAGCGACAAATTTTGAATGGGAAATTCAACTTTGTATTTCTTTAGTACACTGATGGTTCAGTTTACTTATAACTTTTACACTGGCAAAATCAGTATAAAGAAAACCATGAACGCTGATTTGGACACCTGGGCGACCGGGGCACGCTGATCCATCAGCATACCCTCAAACCAATCTGAGGGCCTGAACGTGACGCCCATGAGTCTCGATGGCTCATCCTACGCACGCGGGAATCAACATCAACAACCTACCTTCGCTCCGTACGAGCCCCAGCGCGGCTCCGTCAGCTTCATGCCGCAACCACAACCTGCACCGGGACAAGAAAGAGCACTGGACGCACTACAAGTTCAGTCGCAATTCGCGCATGTTCTGAAACTACAAACGACAAAACCTTTCGACAGGAAGGATTTCTTTACCTGGTCGTTCGAATTCGAGCTGATGATGGAAGGAGCGAAGATCCTTGGCTTCTTCGACGGGTCCCTGCCATATCCAACAAACGGCACACAGTATGAGAAGCAGTGTACACCTATCAATCGATGATGGCGTACACAATACTACTGAGGAACATCACCCCGACTCAACAGCAGAACATAAGGACTTACCGAGGTTACGGTAACTCCGCGGAGCTCGCGTACAACCACTTGAAGAATCTGTATCAAGCAACAGACAGCGTAAATCAAAGTCGATTAATGGCGCAGCTGACAACAATCGAAATGAAACCAGGCGAGAAAGGAATGGCATATATCAGTCACTGTCGCGAGCTGCGCGACAAGCTTCTTCGATGTGGAGGATCGATTTCAGAAGACGCCTTCGTCACGGTTGTCATCGGCGGTCTTGGCCCTCACTGGCGCTCCACTCGCGCCATACTACGAGCACACGGGAGAATCTCCGAAGCAGCACTCTGCACCGAAATCCATGCCGAGCAGCAGGACATGGACCTGCAAGAAGAACGACATAAGAAGAAAACGCGCCTGTAACCCCCCCCTAGGATCGATCGGGGATCTCACAGTGTAGCTCTACTGACACCCCCCCACACTGGGAGGCCCAGGACTGAGCACATTGGCAATGGCCAACATGTGCATACACCGGGATTCGAACCCGAGACCGCTCTGATACCATGTCAGAATCCCAACCACTAGACCATTGGGATAAAAGGGCTTGTTTCAGTAGCGGGTCAGTGCGCCCATAACCCCCCAGGCAAATGCGCCTGTAACCCCCTCCTAGGATCGATCGGGGATCTCACAGTGTAGCTCTACTGACAACAATCGGCAGCAACAACAATTGAAGCCAGTACCTCCGTTTTGCCACATCTGCAAGACTTCAGGGCATCCTCGTACGCACTGCCCGCATCGTCGGCAATCGACAACATCACAGTGACAACTTCGGCCTTCAAGCTCCCAAGTCACTTCAACGCAAGTAAATCCCACGACAAAGATTCAAGCCTCAACGACTCCAACAGGACAACCTGCACAAGGAGCAAGAAACATCGTCAACTGCATGGCAAAGATAACAGATTCCTGCATCACCGAGTCACCACCGCACTACCCACCAGAAGAACGACTCGACGAAACCACACCTCGCCGTGAGTCACTTCAGCCGAACCCGACATACGCCGCCATCGCTCAAAGCGAGCCATCCGGAAGAGACACTTGGTTCTTGGACAGTTGCTGCGGACAACACATGTGCTCCTCAGGACGTTTCGTTCAACGCGAGCACCGACTTCAACGAGAAGTCGTCATCACCGTCGCCAATAATCAGAACCTGCGAACAAGACGACAAGGCATAGTACAGCTTCAGTCACGGGAGACGAACGTCGTACTACAAATGTCGAAAGTCCTAATAGCAGAGGGACTCGGCTACAACTTACTGAGCGTCAGTCAGCTGATGGCGAAAGGCATACACCTGGAAGCCGACAGCACCACCCAGTAGTTCAAACTGTACCACGGGAAGGGCGGCCTCTACATCGGAAAGGCGGTTCTAAAGAATAACGTCTTTGTCCTTGACTTCGTCCCAGACCTGGGCACCGCAGACAGCGACGCCATCGTGAACTTCGCCGACTGGACGCACCCTCCAGATCTTGATCCAGACTTCAGCCCGGAAGGCTTCTGGTACTCGCATACCATCCCTGAAGCAGAACGAACACGCGCGTTAGCAACAATTCAACATCCAGCAGCAGCAGAGACAACATCGGCAGCAGCAGATTTCAGAATCCCAACCACTAGACCATTGGGATAAAAGGGCTTGTTTCAGTAGCGGGTCAGTGCGCCCAAAACCCCCCAGGCGAACGCGCCTGTAACCCTCTCCAGGATCAATCGAGCATCCACAGTGCAGATCTACTGACACCCCCCCACACTGGGAGGCCCAGGACTAAGCACAGCGGCAACGGCCTACATGTGCATATACCGGGAAACGAACCCGAGACTGCTCTGATACCATGTCGGAATCCCAACCACTAGACCATTGGGATAAAAGGGCTTGTTTCAGTAGCGGGTCAGTGCGCCCATAACCCCCCAGGCGAACGCGCCTGTAACCCTCTCTAGGATCAATCGAGCATCCACAGTGTAGATCTACTGACAGCAGAAGCAGCAGAGACAACATCGGCAGCAGCAGAAGCAGCAGAAACATCATCGGCAGTAGCAAAACCATCGTCAGCGACACCCGTTCTCGTTGACGAAGCACCACCAACACTCGCACAGCAGCTGAACCCAACTCAACGAGAAGTCCACAGAAGCGCAAACTTCGTCGCCAGCTTCTACTCCAACTCCGATGCGTATTGACGCTCACCCGGACACCGCGCCTCCGAAGACATCTGGCACGCACGCATGGGACATCCAAGCAACACCGTGTTAAATAATACAATAAGAGCAGGAGTCCTAGACAAGGATTCATTACTACTACCCGACGGCAGAGAACTTCAACGGGCACGAGGAACTTGCCTCGCCTGCCCCGAAGCTGACTTACCACATCGACCGTTCACTCCTCACCACAACCCGAGCGCACCCGCATACGCACCACTCGAGAAGGTGTATAGCGATATTCTCTACAATCGAGAACCATGACAAGTTACTTACAACTACACGATCACCTTCATCGACGCCGCCACTCGATACGTCTGGCATCTAAACCTACCCAGCCGCGACATGGCACTCGCAGCGTTCGCCGCCTGGCTACCAGTAGCAGAGAGAGAGTCGGGAGCACAACTGAAAAGCTTCCAGTCA